TGTGGGTTTTCATACCTGACCTTGCAGTTTCAATGTGCTGCAATCTACTGGCACCAAACTGACAGTCTTCTTCTCAAAGAACACAAAGTGGAAGTGCTGCACTAATTGGTTGCCTTTCTCAAACTGCATTTGCCCATGTTGTCTAGCAACTCTGCATGCCCAGAGCAATAACTATACAGATGGTCAGTTGGCCACTCAATGAAATAGGTATCAATGACTGGCCAAAACACTCAGCCCTGATCCATCATAAAGCCTGACATGAATACACATAAAAATAGGATACATCTCCAGGAGTGTGTTTTGCATGGGCACCACCAGACAGACGTGATGATGGTCTGTGAGCATAAAGTACTGGGAGGTGCGGTGATGGTGCACTAGACACATGTATTTGGTCAGCTGGTGACAGGCATTGGAGTTGTGCATGGGAAAAATTGGCCACCTAGCCAAATTGTCCAGGGTAATGACTCATGATACATGGGATTTAGCAGAATTGTCATCAAATCCTCACACATTTTGCAGGAATGGCATGTACTCAGCAAGTGCCTTTGACAGCAATACAGATCACAAGAACAATAATGATATTGATAAAAACCTCTGGCATCTGGCAAAAAACCTCATGTGTGACACATGATCACCATGTGTCACACATGGTGATCATGATGTTAGTCTATTAATTTAACATTTTTAACTAATTTGACAGGCTGAATCACCAATAAACAACCACAGAAGATGGCTTGAAAATATACTTTGATATTAATATCTACACTTCTGGCACACTAACAGTGCATGAAAAATAAATAGCAAAGGATTTCACACAATACAGGTAAAAATCATAAGATGACCTTTACACATTCCATGTGAGAGGAAAAAACAAAGTGATCTATATGGTCTTACTGAAGCAATCATTACTACTCATATCATGTTTAACAATAGAAGAGTAGAGGTGCAGGACCTCATACAAAGAGCGCATGTCTGCAATACATATGATGCACTCCAATTAACAGAAGACAATAGTACCAACTATGGCTTTCCCTGGGGATTCTGCATTGTGGGTTGATAATCACGACCAACAGAGGAAACGACACCCGGTCTTATTACTCTTAAATAATCACTGACGCATGAGACGACTATGAACGCATGCTCTACAACACTTACTTTGATGCTTGATCACAGATAACGCAAATAAAAACCCCCAATTGCGCGCAGAGATCTCCCGGTCCACCCAATACCCTCAATCCGGAGCCGCTCCCCCCAACTCACTCGAGCCTTCCTAAGCAACGACGAATACTAGCATAAGATGACACTTTCCAGGCGGTCTTGAATGCATCTACCGCGCCGAGAACGCAAACCCGGCTGACTATGCACTAGACGCAAGGTCCTGGCTGGCAAATATTACGCCCACTACGCCCACAAACGAACGGCGAAACACCACCATTTACGTAGAGCCGCGAGACCGCAAGGCAGGGGTGTGGTTTCCCATTCAGTTAGTGGGGAGATGGGTCAGCTCCCTCCGCTAAGGTTTCAGCCCTCCTCCCAGCCATCGGGAAAAAGTGGACAAAATCCATGGAAAAACCTGCTTATTGGCGTATTTTGGGGACAGCAAGAATCTTCCTATCCCGACGTTTAGTTTTTTACCATGCTATTCTTCAAACGGGAACCCCCTTGTGCGCAGCCCTAGAAAATGCCCGTGCTTCTTATGTACATACATGGAGCCTATTTATTTTCTCCAGGTCATGGGGAATCCTGTCGTTTCGAGGATAAGTTGTCCGGAAAAAAACATCGCGAAATGAACCCAGGTTGCTGCTAAATGCCATGAAATTCAAGCACGAACTTGATTCCTAGCTTTTCACAGCTGACCAGCTGGTCAATGTGATCAGCTGATGGCTGATGACAGGAACGCGATGCACAACTATGATAGGTGTCACAAATTCAATTACCAACAGAAATATAACACATACGACGCCGGTCACGCATAAACATATGTTCGCCAATTGCGCATAGAATTCATCGGCACGTATCTGATTGCTGTTGAAACGTTAAGATACCAATGCCAAAAGAGACGGAACCTGGGCGATCATGGCTGCCGTGGCAGGCCATCAAAGAGGCTTCCGTCGACAAGTTAAGGATCGCCAGGGGAAGCGAGAAGAAGCAAAGACCAACGTGGTGGGCATCTGAACGATTGGGAGTGCCCCGGTAGGCTGACATGTGGGGTCCGGCCAGAGCACAGGGCCCTCTGAGCAAAGGGGAATTACCCAAGACCAGTGTGCATGCATTAATACCCCTGTGCGATCAGAGGTGCCCAAGCAGGTAACAGAACTATTCCCGATAGGAGTGAAAGGTCCTCCGCAAATGAGCTCAAAGGCAGAGCCCTACGTCAATGTAGAGGACCACTGAGCATCGAGTGGCTCGGTGCCTTAACTTATATGAGCCTCAGCAGCCGCACAAAGCCCTCCGAGCAGGTGACAAGAACCCGAGACTTATATGAAGCGCCCCTGAGCAACTGAGTGTACCCAGAGAAATGGGACCGCGGCGAAAACGTATAGGGCCTTTCGGGTGAATGGGAGGAGTCCGTGGAGGGCCGCTTATCGTTCAAGAGTACCCGGGCATGTTAGCAGATAGTGTCTCCACAGCAGCGTAAGGCCCTACGAGAAAATGTAAAGAGATCAAGGGTAACGTGGAACGCTCTTAAGCGATGGGGTTGACCGGACAAGTGGACACATAGGGCTTCCAGCAACGATCGATTAGATTGAATCAGCAAGTGAACATAACAAGGGCCCCGGAAACGGCGTCGGACCTCCGGAAATCGTATTGAGTTTTACAATCTCCCAATCACCGCCCTCTCAGCCAGTGAAGAGTTATTGTTGTCCAATTGCGGGTCCTTCACTTTCGCTTGCGACTGTTCTGGATCGCCTGGGGGCCCGAAGACGTCCAGTTTTGTTGCGTTTTGCATTAAAGAACTGCATCTGTTCGGCCGGCTATGGGCCCGCCTACGGAGCCTGCGTGTCCTTCCGGAGCCCAAGGGGGGAGGGGACCATGGCCCCTTGCCTCCCCCTCTGGATCGGCCCCTGTCGACGGCCCCCCCCCCCAACTCATTTCGCAACTACGCCCCTGCCGCAAGGTCAGCATTTCTGAAACGGTGGGGTGAAGTTTTCATCGGAGGGTCTCAAACGGCATTACGGGCCGTAATTGGTGAGGGAATCACTCGTGGATGTGAACACCTGCATTAATGGTGAGTAGTAGCGGAGCCAGGATTTCGTCAAAGGGGAGACGCACGCGACATTGTCGGACCCCTGGAGTTTGAGGCCCCTCAAAAAAAAAACGGGCAAAAGTACAGACAAGTTCCAGAGTTCGCGTCACGAGATGCCTCACAACTCATCACAACAGGGATCGCGTAATCACTCGGGTGGCACTGTGGAGCCGGGGTTACGTCCGCGAGGTCAGGCCCTGCCAGTGCACGGCGGGCGACTACGGCAAGGTCCCAGCGCGGGGGGAAACGAACCCAGATGCGGCATACAGGATCACATCACGCCTTCTACAGACATGGAAATAGAAGTGGAAAATCCTTTGGTAGAGACTGTTGATGGAGAGAGGCGAAAGGAAAACGCGATAACTATACGTTCTTCTCAGGTGATATGATGAATCCAGTTCGGAAACAAGATATCAAGCAATCAGCTTGAAAAAAGCAGCTACCTATTCAGATCATTGTCAAATGGCACATGAGGTTCGGTTTGGCCTCTCACATGATTGCATGCATGCTAAAATAGATTAAAGAGTGTACGCCACCCTTCTGCATCTACACTCATTGTGGCAGCAGACGCGTCCAATTCGATCGGTAATACCAGCTTTCTCGAAATCCTTCTAACTACATCAGTCTGCCTATTTGAAGTAAACGCTCCTGCGGGAGAAATCTAGCTCATCACTATGAAAGCAATGCAATGCTTTTCACGTGTGTACTGTGCAATGTTTGCAACACACCAATGTGCCGAAATGCTCGTGTAATAATTGCTACAAAAGCTTAAAACACTCTTCTCAGAGGAACAGATGAGCAAGCGAGATTCTTATCTCGCGAATTCAACGAAACGTATTACTACGGCTTTGATTCCTTCACCATGGCGTGTACTGTAGTGTCTCTGTCCGAAACGCCACTTCGCCTTGGGAACGGAGCATCACACGTACTTCAGTGACGCAGAGGCTTAAATTTCAACCGATGTGCTTCTCGGTAACTGGCCCTTGCCGCCCCGCACATCACAAAGTTTACTTGTATAAACGCCATTCATAACAGTACAGGTGCCGCTTTTAAGCCCGCATGCCCTAACGCACGGGTTAAAACAGCTCAAAATCGGTACTTCTAATCCGCAACAGCTGACAATGGCGCTCAGCATTCTGCCGTCGTCATGACGACGGCGGTCTCGACAACTAGTTGTCGCGGACTCCGGGTGCACTCTGGGGCATCCCGAGTCCGGATGCACTCTGGGGCATCCCGAGTCCGGATGCACTCTGGGGCATCCCATGTCCGCGAAGGAACACAACAAAGGAAGAAGTGTAGTGTTGTTACAAAGTGTTAACAGCGTAACTTGGACTAAAAATAAGCACAATTTGCGACACAACACGTCACTAGATACTTGTTATTGATACGGATGCAGTGGCACTACCCAATGCACATAAGTGGTTCCGAAGTGCCACCAGGGTAAACTTGTGAAATATGCCCCGAAAGTGGGACAATCCCTTTAAATATGTCTCATGCGGTCATGCGGTCTCACAGCCGCATGACTTCTAATCGCTGAACAATTTCCGCTGGTGAACTTCGCTGCACCAAAAAGCTTGCGCAGTGACACTGGCGATGGACGGAATATTCCGCGCAACGTTAGCCACGCGACGCGGTTAATGCGGTACAACACGCCAACCAGCTACCATTGCCAAGGAGTTTCTTGCAACGTGCGATTTAGCACACTGCTCAGCCAGGTCAGGCTGCGTCTTCATGGGCGGTGGCCGAGACATGATGACAGACACTTGCATTTATTGCACAACTACAAGCCTAACTTCAGTGCTTAAGAGCCTGCGCAACGATCACCAACATTGACGCTTCAATCGAATTCTTCATAACACCAACAGCCTCAGTGGGATCGAGCCTCGGGGGTTCCGACAGGAACAGCGTAACAACCCCAGGAGAAGCTGTCTGCGGAGTGACGCCAGCCGCCAACCGGCTGCTCACATCGTGCGCCTCAGCCGTGCCCACCAGAGGCGGGCGGGCAGCCAGCCGTCGCGACGCTGCAGCGCCGGGTGGAACACGTCAAAGTCGGCCCTTTGCAGGCGGCGCAGGTAGCTGGCCACCGCCACGCCTGGCAGGAACACCGAACGCGCCGCCACCGGCAGCTCGGCGAAGTGCTCCTTCACCTGGCGGCCACCAGACGGTGACAATGACTAAACATGGTTCATCTCTCAATCCAGTCTTCAAGTACACCCATACACCCCCACACACAAAGAGGAGCGTCCGACTAGGTAACCTTAAGACGACTGCTCCACATCTGCAGATATCGAGGCAAGCATCAGATATGATAGAGAAAGCTCACTTGTAATGTCTATGCTCGATACCAGATAAATCGATTAGTCATTTCGATAAATCGATAGATGATAGTGAATGCCATAGTGCCATAAACAAATGCCATGGGCGTGTGTGTCAAGCCACGCCATTCTACATAATACAATCTTCTTGCGCCACGGGCCATCTTCGATGAAACATGAACGACATCTATCCTCGTTGGCCACAAGAGCTCGAATTACTAGGATACTTCTCTGTGAATTACACCATACTATAACGTTTCCACAAAACAATGCACCTCGGAATCGCGTTCAATGAGGAGGCATTCCTCTGCGGGACAACAAGTTTGGGATCGACGATTAAAAAACAAATCCAACGGGGACAAAACACTGAAGCAGCCAAAATCCTGGGAAGTCAATTTTTGGAGTAGGTTAGGATAGTGTTGGCTCAGCTCCCCTCCCCCAATCGATTTTAGAAAGTGACACCCTGCCGGTACAGGGTGTCAGGGTGTACCGAATGTTCGATGCTGGTGGTGCCTTACCGACATAAAAAACCCTCATTGAAGGTATTTGATGTCGGGTAGAAATATACAAAAACACAATGAGGAAAGGCCAAAACACACGCATATACCACCAATAACATAAGCACTTACACGCAGACTCCAACGCCATCTTGCGGCGTTTTAAGTTCCGCGAGTGAGTCCGCCATTCGCTACACTGGCAATATTGACACGGCCAATCCGGCAGCGACTCCGACGTCATGAAAGTGTTTCATATCGTAATCCAACGATGACGCATTGCGGAGCAGTCATTGCGTAGTGAAATTTTGTCACTTAGGGCAGTATTTTCCACTTAAAGCATACCCAAGGTTACAAATGAACTTTTTCCATAGCTGATGCTTGCATCAATGGCATGAAATGTGGAACACTCCTTTTAAGGAGCAGCAGGGTCTAAGAATAACATGGGATCTTCGATAAGTCATCGCAGCCCCATAAAGTCTTCAAGGAGAGGAGGTGCAAATCGTTCAAAGTTATGCTGCACATCTTTTAGCCCATCTGCATAAAATGGTCCAATATTACGTCATTTTCAAGCAGCATCATAACGTGACCCGCCAATAAAAAGGAGGACGTGGAGGAAGGGGGGGGGGGGGGGTAGAGAGAGGTGAATTGCCTACAACTACGAAAATGACAGAAGTATCTAGGCGTCAATATGGGATAATGGGATTTGATCTGTGGCATCGCCATACCAAGGCCAGCGCCCCACCGCGCCTCTCTAAAGGCCATGTGTTCGGAGCCGAGGCAGGGGCGCGGCCGCTGGCGGACGTTCCGCCGGACTCACGTGCTCCAGGTGCCGGTGGGCGACGCTGGCCACCTCGAAGGTCACCTCACGCAGGCCGGGTTGGTCGCGGCCACGCCACAACCTGCTCGGCGGGCACAGCGTGCTTGTGCAGCAGGTCGGACGGCAGATGACAGATGCGGCGCGGCGCCAGCCGGGGCGTCGCGCGCAGCAGCGAGGCCACGCCCCTGCGCCCGGCCCAGACGGCTGGCCAGCTTGCAGCTGCTCGGATCCCACCGCCAGACCTAGGTCTGCCGGCGGCGCAGCAACGAGGTCACGCCCTGCACCCGGCCCAGACGGCTGGCCAGCTGCAGCTGCTCGGATCCCACCGCCAGACCTAGGTCTGCCGGCGGCGCAGCAACGAGGTCACGCCCTGAGCCCGGCAGCTGCAACTGCTTGGATCCCACCGCCAGACCTAGGTCTGCCGGCGGCGCAGCACGAGGGCTCACGGCCCGGCTCGGGCACCGGCAGACACAGGCCGCACCGGCCGCGGGACATAGACCAGCTGTGTGCGGTCGCCAACGTACCGGGACCAGTGCGCAACACGCCGAAGTCCTAGCAGAACGACCTCAATGTCGAGCCATCAACATGTCGCGTGCCACTATATCGCGAGGATCCGACAAGCACTGTTTTTTTTTTTGGCAATAGGCTTAGCGAATAATCCTGATCATTCGGCTATGTGGTGTGCAAAGCTGATAAAAAACGGACCGCATAATGACTTGATATGTTTAGCCTCAAGAGCCCACAGGCTGCTTACTTTGTATTTGCACCACACTAGAACCACAAACACCAGACAACTCACAAACCTCCACCCCAGAGGCCTACAAATGATATTGAGCTTACCCATGCACTGTAGTACGAGGTAGTTAAACAGGTGAGACAGTGTTGACAGCATACTCCTCCATGCTCCGCGTGGTGGAGAACGGGTGATTGGACAGCGAATGTTTGCGTGCTTCCACCAGCCGCTTCAGCCATCCCTTGGAGATCCGGTGGATTCTTCGTAGCCTGTATTTCAAAAGCACACAGACATCAGAGACACATATAAGTAGAAAATTGGGCCAAGAGCAGGTGGAACTGTAGGGGGCAGGCCTATTAATGAAGTGCATACTTAGTTTTAAGAGCCACAGCTAGATGGTGGAAAATATGCCATCTTAAGATGAAAACACCAGTTTCTGTTTCCACCATCAGTGCCTACCCAGGCAGCACAAAGCTGCTGTGTGCCATTTCATCTGTCTTTGGTGATTTGTATTGTAGCTCTGTGCATTCTTATGCATTTTTCACTCATTGCAATTGCCCCTGTGCCCTGTTTTCCACGGATGGCTGTGCAGAGCCTGGTGAGTCTGAGTTAGCGCGTGAGCAGCCTCACCTACCCTGTGCAGCTCCAGTGCCACAGGCTGCTGGGGGGGATCGTCGCGGAACGTCTTGTCAATGGCGTCCGACCAGAACTGGAGCCGCATGAGACCGATCTGCGACTCTGACACTGTGTCGCGGACCCGTGCCAACTGCAACCAAGTCAACAACAGGGTTAACACTAACCATCCGCTCCTGTGCGCTGCACGGTAGCGGCAAGCACGCACGCACGCACGCACGCACGCACACACAAATGCTGGATAGTTTGAAGCTGCCACAAACAACCAGTGCATAGTGCAAAGCCCTGCAAACAGATAAACACCCTTTTCATTAGCAATCATTCACATTAAGGCGGACGCTGCACGAACATTTACAGTAGATGCACCCAAAGACAAAACAAAGCATCGTCTTCATGCATTAAATAACATAGCGAGTACTGATAAACCATATAATTTCATCGGCATGACTCAGAGTACGAGGAAATCAGACTAACCCAGCTCACCACCTCACCTCGACATTAAATGCACGGATTGCAAACACCCCAGCACGTGCTTGGTTTGGCAACAGCAGAGTGCATAAGAAGTTTTCATAATCATGTTTCCTGAAAAAGGAATACTAGTTATTGTTCATTTCACATCTGCACACCAACAATGACCATGACATAGTTCACAGCCTACGCTTTAAGGACTTAGCAATTCACACCATTTGCACACCAGTTTTTCCTAAAATGCCGGTTACGCTAAACGCCACTGACAGCATGCACATAACTTGTCTAAGAGGTCTACATCTTCGTCCCACAAATAAAAGGGGATCAAACCAGTTCCATTGGAGGAGGGACAAGTGAATGCCCAGTAGACCAATGAATGCCTCAGGCAAGCAGTTTCCATTTTATATTGTACTGTGGTTTGGTGTCAGGGTCGGAACTTCAGAAGTAGGTGACGTAGCAGTCAGCGTAGCAGGTGCAAAACCACTATATGTATAGCATAGCAATCCAGACAATAAATTATCTCCATAACATTTTATGGATTCAGAGCACACAAGGGTCGCTCACTACCTTCCCCCCGCCATCGTTGGGCTCGCCTGTTCAGAAAAATATTCTAAACATACTCTGGGCATGCCACCCCTTTCAAATGTTACTACACCTCCAAGGTGAGCTTAATTCAGGGAGCACGATGGACCATGTGGCATTACAGCGCGTTTCACTTTCGGCAGAAAGCTCCGCAGTTGACATGAAACCTTATGATCAGATGGTGGGACTAGACCTCATGCAATATGTCAATATGCACAGCTAAGCAGGGTTCTCATCCCAAAAATCATAAATACATCCATTCACAAGGTTTGGACCAAATATTGGCAGGCATTTGGTTTTATAGGTTAAAATATTCATCTAAGGATCTTAAGAGTATGCTGCTTCCACTGCTAGCTCCCCTCATAAGCTTAACCATCTGTTTCTTAGCAAGATGTTGCTTTTGTAGGGCAGCTTGTCCTCAGCAATTACCACCTAGCTGCCTTCTAAGGAGACTGTCAAATTACCTGCCCAGCCAGCCTAGAGCGTGGACCAAAGTTCCTTTATTAAGGGCACCTGGACACAATTAACCTTTCTTAAGGGCATATGGACCCAACCCTCTTGTTCCCACCCAGTGTCCAGTTCCTGAGGTTATTCTCAGTGTGCAGATAACAACCACCCATACCTTTGTCAGTTGTTGTTTGAAGCACAACAAGAACAGGTTTCTGAACAGGTCTGTAGGCTCCATTTTTCAAGTTTGATGATGAACAACGTATTGTATGATGGGGTGTAACAATGCTGTAATTGAAATACTGTGGAGACTGTACAAGAAATTAAGAGTCAACAGAATCATTCATCTGTCCATTACAAGCCAGAATCTGCTCCCAAATACCCCTCCTTTTGTTATGTTTAGGTTACATCCTCTCCCCTAGTGTAACACTGTGCCATCATTCATGCACCTGGCTGAAGTGTGAAACACAAATTTCTGCCCATCTTGATTGAAGCCAACCAACCTTGGGCCAGAAGCCAGGGAGAATGGATTTGGTTTAGCAAGCTGACACTGCATGGTGTATTTCTGATGCAGTTTTAGATTTGGCCTTGCTACTTTGAACTGAAGTAAAAGGCTAAAGGTTCAGTTTACTGTATCCTATGTTGGAAGGTGTTAAGATGTCAAGGAATGTCCTTGCCTCTATTACTGACTTTGTGTGTGGAAAGACAGAGGTCAATGGCTTTGCATTTAGCTTTGTGTTTCAAAATGTGATGCTGCTGACTTTCAACATAGCCTCACAGCTCAAAACCTTAAAGCCAGTGGCTTTAGCCACACATCATTTCTTGGCTTAAGCTTTTCCTGGACATCCTGAAGCTTGGTTTTACAATGGAAATCACTCTATTATGCATTAAGAGCCACCAGACCAAAGCAATGTGTGGCTTTGGTCCAAATATGGGACAACATAAATTTGCACCCACTTTCATTACATAACTTTGTCCTCTGCAAGATGACTCCTTCAGATTAACTAATATCAATGATAGTAAATAACAGTGTAATTGCATGATTTTACCCTTGCAAATGGGAAACATTATTACTTCACACCAAAAACGGCACTCACAGCATGTGGTTACACCTAGAGATGGCTACAAATGTGCCTAGAAATGTGCCTGGTTCCAAAGAGTGCTTCCCAAGAGCCAATTCCTGGTCACTGAACCAGGAAAAACAGGAAACATGTTAGGTTGGGTGCAGTTTAAGTTAAATCACGGGAAGTTGTAAGCCTTAGCAGGTTTAAAATGCAATCTCCTTTCGGAATTGCTGTTGAGAGGAGGTGCTCTATACAAATTCACATGCTGTCATTGTAAAGCACTTGGCATTGATGCAACAGCTCTCATTGGGTGTGTTACACACACCACTACTGTTCCGCCCTGATTGTTGCATAATGTTACATGAGAATAAAGCATGCTGTGCCGGCACGGACAATACACAGATTATACAAGAAATATCACAATAATTATCCTTGCAAACATCATCAAAGGTTTAATTTCAATCATGACTAATGAGACGTATGCTTACACCGCTACACAACCGCATCTAAGAGTAAAATCATTAATAATTCAGATTAAAATATCTTGACTGCACCTTGGAACGGTAGGATCATTAATAAATCAGATCATAATCACCTGTCATGTAGATACCTTAGAAAATCATTCAGTCGAAAGCCCCGCAACAGTACTTTAATATGCACCTTTCAAGCCAAGAAACGAATAAGCACTATGCACCTTCTCACCTGACCAATTCAAGGCAGTACGAAGAAGTACTTCTTCTGGGAAAAACGAAATCTGGCCCACGCTCAGCGGGTAGTGGATTTCCATTTCTTGCTAACCTAAAATTATCCACATTTTGTCTGCCCGAGCGCAGCGTTTGCCGTACAATTCCCGTGGACAGCATGGGCGCAGACATCTTGCTAAAAGGGGCGTTGTGATTGGCTGATTTTTCCGAAGGTCCCGGATTCATAAGCTGATTGCGCTTCAGTTTCGGCATTCGCCGTTCGCCTTCGCCGTGCTGTGGGCGGTAATTCGCGGATTGGGGTTTGCCAGCCTGTTACAGCCGCTCGCTGGGTTGCGGAAACGAGGTGTACGGTGGAGACTGCAAGCATTTTTAAAGTATTTTGCGATGAATTAAAGTGCCAGGTAATTGATCAACGAGTGTACTTGATTTACTGTGATAAGGCTACGATCTTTTATGATGGTGTTGTGTGAAGAGGACGTCGTGAACTGGTTCCAAGGACTGAAAGGACATCAAAGGATCCCACTCATGCATCAACTAGTTCATATGTGCCATCCTCTGGAGCTTAGATTTATAGCGTCGTGTGTGGAGGATGCGTGCAGGACAGACTACTTGGCCTTCCGGAGCTCCGAATATCAGGCCAATAGCCAAACTGTGCTCAAGTCGCTAGGAAGTGCATTAGATGTTGAAGCAAGGAGCAAGATCATCATTACCTGTGTCTTCTTAACTCTACAAACAAATTGTGTTCAAGGATACTTAACCAGAAGATATGTGATCATGAGTCTGTGAGCCAGTTTTGTGATGAAGTGCATAAACAGTTGATGGATGGGGACCTGCCCACCAGTCAGGAGCAGAGGAAGCTGGAAGAGCTCCGTCTCCTGTATACGCTTGCCTTCCTGCATCCCACCTTTGATTTTATTGAAAGACAACATTATAGGGACATGTGTGGTAGATTGAGTGAGCTGGAAAGTGAACTCCAGAAGCTAGAAAGAAGGCAAGAACAGAAACCATTAGAATCTGTTGTACCAAAGGTGAGTACCTTCTTAGGTGGAGTACACCCCAGTACCCAGAGTGCCAAATATGTATATATATATATATATATATATATATATATATATATATATCAGGCATACACAGAATGTCCAGTGTAGTAGTGATATAGTCACAACTGCAATGCATGCATTTCATAATTCAGAGCATCCTGAGTTTGGTGCATAGTTGCCAGCAATTGTGGTTTATTAAAAACCAATGGTTTAAAAATTGTGGTGCTTCAAATGTTTTAAACTTAAAGTAACCATTCCCTTAAAGCCAAAGTGTTAAAAACAGCACAATTTAGGCTGGCTGGAGTCAAGTGCAGAAATGTGCCTAGCTCATAATATTTCCAATGTGAGCCAGGCACAGCAAATAGATTTCTTAGATATTTTGCACAATTAATTGCATCGCAATACTTGAGTTGTGTTGCCAAACATTTAATGCACATCTCCACACACTATTGCTCATTTATGGTTGAGGATGCCCTGACGTATGAGAGGACTGTAACATGCACAGTTTTATCAAATTTGTATCAAAGCATAATTTGATGCATGGATGGATGCATGATAACCTGCAATTGCTGCTGGCCGTGGTGCTCTTTCCCAGCCCATTTTATTAACTTTTGTTTGTTTAAACAAAGTAACTTGTGCAGATAATGACAAGTGTGATTTATATAATCTAGACCTTACCCTCTCAATGTCAGTGTGCTGCCTTAGAGCATTATTTTGTGGGTAGTGAAATTTGTGTTCATCTGTGGATTTGTGGTACATTGTTCAGCTGCACTATTTTATCGCACAAGGACAGCACGCCATTTTGAATATTTTGCTACATTCCAAGAACTGATTAAAAGAATGACAGGCATGGTTAAACAGGGAGGAAATTGCCAGACAAAATATGATCAGACATGGTGAAATAGGCTCACTATTGGCATACTTCATCAAAGTGGAAAAGACTGCTCTAGACAACACAATACCTCTGTTTAGTAAACACAGTCTTCAATGTGTCAGTGTTTGATCACATCATCAGACCCTATGCAACATGTATTGAGAGCCACATGACAGCTTTTACATCTGGAAGTTATGCTCATTAATGCCAGATATGAATGACTCAACAATTATTTCTCTCTTGGCATTGAACACTGTGGGTAATGATATGGCAGGATTTGAATGACATTATTATGGCATCATGACATGCCTGGGTAACCTTTGGAATAGCCTCCCCAATTTCTTTTCTCACATCTCTACAGGCATGTAGCTCAGAAACTAGAGTGGCTTAGGTCTTAAGAATGGCAGGGCTGTGAACTGTGCAAAATGATCCTCATGATGGTTATGTCAGAATTCCAACACAAATGTAGACCACTCCACTTAGCGCAGTGGCATTCCAGGACTGTCTGGCTGCAGTACATCTTTGTGATTTGGAAGGCATTGTTTTTTTCCAAATTGCTTGGCCAGCTACAAGCTAGAGGAGCATGAAGCATGGAACCTATCTAGAATGTCATTTGTGCAGATGTATTTTTTATATTACAGTCTTCACTTCTGATTTTACCAGAAAGTTTCATTGAACTGCAGAAAGTTCAATTTTCACAGCAGTGCATTCTCAGATTTCAATAAATGATTGGGTATTGCATAGCCAGGTTTACATAGGCAGGTCTGTGTTTACAGAACAGAGGCATTAGTCAAGTGCTGTTTTCTCTAAACTGTGTATAATTAGCCACATTAAGATCTGTAAAAATCCACCATAGATAGTCAAATTAATCTCTAATCTTTGGCAAAAGGGCTTATATTTTTCAATAACATTTCAAAACCATACAAAAGGGTATGTAGGAAGAAGACATAAATTCATGCTATGAGATTTCTGGCTTCAGTAATCCCTGTATGCACAACTGGTTAGCTGCTTATCTGTGACTCTTTGACCCTGAAGCCTTACATCTGACCTGTCCAGCTGATTTGCCAAGCTCAACTCACCCTTAGGATGCTGGGTAGATCCACATCAAGGTTGATGCTGGTTGGCAGATCTTGAGCAAGTGGGAGCAACAGGCAGTAAACCTGGAGCTTGGGGTGTCTCAGCATGGAAAAATCCACATTCCTGCCACCCAAGTGACCAAAGATTGAAACATGATTTATCATGACCAGGTCAGGCAGCAACTGGCTGGAGTTCTTTGTTTCTGCCAGACCATCTCTACATGCCAGTGGAGTCAAACACACTAATACAGACTAGTATAACTGATGTGTTTCACATTCCTGATATCAGTATGATGCCCAGATGAGAACACTGATAAGAATATAGGCCAGGTGCTTGAGGCATTTTAATAAATTGTCAAAGAAGAGAATGCTGTATACACCTCAGGTTCTTCAGAAAGAGCACAGGGGACAGTCCAAGAAACATCCATTTCTAAATGTGGTGGGTGGGTTCAGTGCTGGCGATGTGCACCAACATTGTGGTCTTATTGAGTTGTCTTTCCATGTGTTGCCAAAAGCTTGGTGCTTGAATATGAAATTACTGGTGAGGCTTCCCAATTTACATGCTGCGACCAGCCTAAATAATCTAAACTGCAGTTTTTATGCTTGATATTAATTTGGAGGAAACAGTATTCAGCAAGATAACTTAAACCACGAGCACAGTGGTGGATTCGTAGGCTTGTATCCAAGTGGCCCACACAATAGTGATTGCCTACGACAATCCACACACCTGATTTAAGAAGGCTAGAACAATGTGAACGAGGTGCTTTTTTCTCTCTGATTGGTTCCTGGTGCCATTTTGCCAATACACCTCTCAAGAGCATTGTGGGCCGATGCATAAACGATTGTGTGTTTTTCAATAGCTTAGGCTCGTGTCCCGCTCTTCCAATCCCGTCTCAATCTGTTGCGAGGCGAGACCATGCTCGGTGGAGCTTTGACTTTTTTGATACCCGCCGGTGTGGCCGATGGAATACCCTTCGCTCGGGTGGGAAGAAGTCAATTTAACTCTCCCCTGAGATCTCGGAAACTAAGATAGCTAGAGACACCAAATTCACAGGGCGAGCTGGCCTTTATGTGAACTTTTATGGTAAAATTTGATGTTTTTGGTTCATGACCTTGGGGTTAAATAAGGCCAACAAGGTCAAAGTCCAGATTGGTGTGTAAAGTACCCCAGTGCTCCTCGCGCAACCGCCGTGAACTTAGATATCTGCTCAAAGCAAAAGGTCCATGATGGTCATTCAAGGTCAGTGACCCTGTCTGATCTTTAAAGTGACAAAAAATACGAAGTTACTGTTATTTTTTCATTTAAATAAGCGTCAGGGATTGTATTATTTGGTATGCCCGGAAGAAACAAAGTGTCGGCCTTGATCATTTACCTAATCTGAGTTTTTTTTTAGAAATCCACGGAGAATGTCTGTTGCCACCCTCTCATAAATCTATTCGAAATGAGCACCGAAAGCTACGCTATAAAGGACGCTTTCGAGTAAAAAAGCAAAAAGTTGGTGAAAAACAAAAAAAGCAATGTAGAAAAAACAAAAGCCGTTCGGAAATCACTATGGAAAAACTTGTGTTGGGCGGGGTTAAATGGACCCCGCACCCGAGCGCGTGTTAAAAGAAGATGATTTTTTATGGCATATATATTAAGGACGATGGGATAAGGAAACGGTAGGTTGTAGTTGGTCATTAAAGCTGTTGTTTTTGAGCTGCAAGTAATTGGTTTATCCAAGCTGCGTAAAAATGTGCGCCTCTCCTATCCCGTAGGTTTCTGACGATTCGTAGGGGGTTCATTACCAATAAGGATTGGTCGTACTGTTAAACAGTTGCCCCAAACGGTCGGTTTGATCCCCCGGAGTACCTTCATGGATCCCGATACGGTCGTGTGGATGGATAAGGTTCAAGTCCCAGCACCAAACGGAAGAAGGGTGTTGCAACGTCGCCTGGTTGGGAGAGTTCTGGACAGTTGCGCGAGGGGAAATCCAGCTTCGATTCCCAGCTGATTGTCTGGTCTGCCGGTGGTCGTATGGCGGCTGGTCGCTGGCGCTCCATGAAGGGGTTGGCGGTGGCGCTCGCCCCGCACTGGTACAAAGGCCGATCCTACGGGTATGGTGCGAACGGCGCCATGCAGGCTGCGATCGCACATCGGTCAAAATAGCCGGCGTGTGCGGTTTGGCACCCCTACTGCTTGATGTGAGTCGAATGATATCAGTGGTGTTCGTTTGTTCATCTGTCAGCTACATGCCGCGAATGAGGCCTTCAGCAACAGTTGTTCCTGGGACTGGGTGCCGTATGAACGGAGCGGATGCGTGTGTAGGTCCTCTGGGTGAAACGGCCGTGGGAGCAGTCATGAATCACCAGATGTGTGTTTCAGCCCAAATGAACTGTCGCCAATAACTCGTTTTCGACTGGGATGCAGCCAGTCGCCACCGACTGCGCGTCTCTGATCGCATCTCGCAAACCGGATCATTGACGTTCAGAAAGGTTTTGAAGGCCGGCGAGGGCTGGGATTTAACCACTTAACCTCTCTAGAACCTGAAGACTATATATGATGCTGGCAATGTCGTGGTGCGCCAATTATATGCATCTTCGCCACGCAGACCTTGAGAGCGAGATCGTAGCGTGCGCATACCGGTTAAAGGGGCTACAAAAACTCCTAAACCTTCGAATATGACATGGGCTGAAATGGAAGACAGACATTCGTAATGTATTGTTAAAAATTGTGGGCTGATTTTTTTGCTTTGGGCACATTGCTGGGATCTGTGCCCACGTTAAGCAGCACCCGTTGCATGAGCTCTGATCCTGCCATCGGATCTTGAAAATCCGGATCAGCGGCAGAATTTTGTGGCGAAAGTTAAGCGTGCCGCAGCGCTCGGCGGTGTCCTTCTATCCTCTGACGTCAACTGACCTTTTCGTGCGGCCGCTACCACCGGCCACAAACGATCACGGTCGGGGGCAAATAGCGAACGCCTATACCAAACCGGACCCATCTCGCCAAGGAACCCGGAAGACAGGTCCTCGAACCAACTGAGCTACGAGACGGTGTG